TGTTACAATTAGTTATGTGTAATTAACCGGAACAGAGCAAATGAAATTGCTGTAACTTTAAATTTGCACAAATTTTATGAACAATTAAAGTAAGACTCACCCACTGTTTAAAAATAATGCCGTTTCATTAATAAGAGATTCTCGTAACTAGAACATTCCATCGTACGTAACTATTCACAAAAATAATATACACCCCACAATACCTAATGCCACAACCGGTTCACTTTACTATCATTTTTCATTATTACTTATCATTTTAAAGTTTTGTTGTCACTTTTCATTAATTTCCTAATGTAATATCGATGAGTAAACAAGCAGAAATACTTGAACGATTGTACGAAAGTAACTTCTGTAATTTTGTTCTCTCTTTAACGTTGTACTTCAGACATTCTATCCTAAACTGCTGATCACACTTCTAATAGTTTCGAAAGGAAAGAAAGCAAGCGTTTTGAACATTGTTTTCGGCCGTTCAGACCGAGTCGAGTCAAAGAATTATAAAATAATTAAACGGTTTCATTTTGCTGACCCTATTGTTGCTTCATGAATGTCCGAGGAAACCCTGGTCCTTTTCTGTTTCCAAAAGGCAAACCCGGTTTTTGCCTTTTTTTAACCGCCTTCGAAAAAGGAGAAGGTTGCTCAATTCGATCAGTATTTTTTTTTTTCTATGTATGTTCGCGCATTACGCCTAGCTGGATGGACCGATCGGAATGAAACCTTTTGCATCTGGCAGGTTCTGACTCCCCAAGACTGGTCGTTGGCTGGTCGACCAAGTTTCCCTGTACGAATCTTTCGAGGTCGTCCAGGACCTCATGTAAGTGATGGTTCTTCGTCAACATGGACATCTTCATGCACAAGCGGTGAAGTATGCTCCTCTTCATTTGTAGGTAATGAAGAATCATCATTCTTATCCTCATTTTCAGCTATAATATCAGTGTCTGTTGTATTTTCGGATGTTCGATGATTTATCATTTTATTATTTATTATGAAGTCTATTTCTCGGTTTTGAGATGAATTGTCATTTTTAACCGGCTTCGAAAAAGGAGGTTACTCAATTCGATCAGTATATTTTTTTTTCTATGTATGTTCACCGATTACGCCTAGCTGGGTGGTCCAATCGGAACGAAACCTTTTGCATCTGGTAGGTTCTGACTCCCCATTGGTACCATTATCAAAAAATTTTTCATTTTTTAATTGCAAAGTATTGTTATTGCAAGACAACCAGCAACTTTTGAAATAAACTTTTCTCAATTTTAGTGCGCTTTTAATATCTTATCACGGACATGATCCTGAACAATTTTATTCATATACGAAGTTCGCGAAAAGCTTTTGTTTTCGAGATATTAGTGAAAAATTGTTATTAATTTTTGAAATCAATTTCGTACGATTTTAATGTCTTTCGAATATGTTGTTAGAGGCGTGGTTCTGGACAACTTTTTCCTCTTGCATAATTGACGGAAAGCTTTTGTTTTCGAGATATTAGCGAAAATTGTTGTGAACTTTTGATGCCAACTTCGAACGATTTTAATGTCCTTCTAATACTGTTAAACTCAGATTCTAAATCTTTGAGTTTTGAGTATTGCACTTCGTGCCGTCTAACTCCGAAGGACCACCCGACTGATTCGGGAATAAAAAACTAAGTATGTGGGTTACTGAGCTGATATATTCTAAGTTGAACACTGATAAATTGATACAAGATTTGCTGAGTTGAAACTGTTACTGATACAAGTTGCTGAAGATCTCTGATTTTTCCTGACGACATTCGCTTCGACGTCAAGTCGGTTTCGCACCCCACCTCTTTTTCCTAAAAAGAGGGTGAGCCCTAACTCTAAGTTTGCTATTTCTTAAAACTAAGGTGACCAATACTGTGTCATCCCCTTGGCCCTAACTCTAAATTTGCCATTTCTTAAAACTAAGATGACCAATACCGTGTCATCCCCTTCCAGTGCGCCCAAAGCGCGGTACATCCCTGGAGCGGGGGTGACAGGCTGGTCACTGTCGTCAATGCATGTTTGGCAACATCGGGGAAATTCCGTCAGGTCAAGATCCCTGGGGATACTAATTTCTGAATTTCTAAGGAACCCTCTGGAATACGACTTTATGATACCCGGGCTGAAGCAAAAAACTGAACAATAGCTAAATTTCTAAGTGACCTTATGTGCCGCATACTGGCTGTGCATACTGGCTACAGGCCGGCCTGAAACTCATAAAGAGGCAAAAACTAACGGTTACAAATGGCTCTACGAATATTTAGCCGTATCATAAAGTTGTCCCCTTGATGTCTTAACAA